AAGCAGAGTGCTTTCCAAAGTCTCATCTCTCCTTAAATGTTCCAATGTTTGTTCTATACTTAGGGCACATATTAATTTAGTCTTCGTGGAGGGTGTTCATATGCTCCTCAAATTTCCCTCAAAATGAGGCAAATATTCTTTTTCTTTCTGCAGACTGGGGAAGAACACATGGATAAAACACTGAACTGAAGTTTCCATCTCCGCCTACTCAGCAGGAGAGCTCTTATAATTGAATGAAAACCACATCTGATATAGAGTGAAGATTATTGAGAACACCCAAGGGTACTATACAGCAATGTCAGCTTGCTTTTGGGACAGTTTTATACATTTTAATTGATCCATTTAATGATCAGATTGGGAAATCTTGTCCTTACCGTCCACACTGGGCCAGTTCTGATGACAAACACTGAAACACTTCACCCAGCCAACAGTCAAAAGAAGGTGGGTCATTGTCCCAGTGCCAGAAATACATCCTGAATTTGGCCGAAATTCTACCAATTCATTGGACACTCAGAAAGTTCAGTCCATTTCTAATTTAGAAATGCTTTTTTTCCCCCCTGCTTTCACTGAAATTCTCTGTGCTATAAAAATCTCAGCCCTGATTCACTTGGAATGGTGTCTCCTCCTCTGTCTCACTTGACATAATACCTTTTCACCATGTGCTCTGGGATGAGGTCGGATCACTGGTCACACATCCCCGCCTTATGTAAGAACTTCTATTTCACATCCGAGCCAGCTCAACGCAGATTTGTTTTAATTAGCACCTACAACTGCTCCTTTGCAACTCTGCCATTGTTTGTTAGGCAGGAAAAATTAATATTGTCTAAGCAACAGGCTGCAAAGCCACAGCTGAAGGGCCATCAAGTCGTGTCAGTTCTCAGGGCAAGGTTTGGAAGGTGCTGAAGAGCATATCTGGAGTTGGCATCGTGGCTTTTAGCTGATGATTTTTGGGGCTTAAAATCGTATTAAAAGATTCTTTTGCAGGCTCACAGAGCTGGGTTTTTACCCCAAAGTCGTGATGCTTCTTGGGGTCTTGGTTTCATCTCCTGCCTCTGAAGACCCACCAGCACACATTCAGGAATATCCTTATTAGCCAAAGCCTGTGTGACCTGCAGTGTTTCTTTGATGAATGCCCATGAAAGCATTTTCTTTGGGTAGATCTTCATGGTTTAGGGATGGGAAGGTGAGGGAAACATGCCTTCTCCAGCCTCCATGGGGCTTGGGCACTGCTTTCACTCCTTGGCCCATCTTGGGCTGTGTGTGTGTGTGTTTAAAATGTTTCATGCGCTCCCACAGAAAAAGTCAACCACAAATGCAGCGCTTTTGGGGAAAATGAACGGGTGTTAAAGTTCCCTGTCAGCAGGGCAGGTTGGGACAGGGCTAGGGTTAGGGTGGAAGCCTGCAGTAATGAGCTACACCTGGTTACTGGGAAAAATAAAATACAGAGCAAGAATGAAGTTCCCCCATTGTCTTGTGAGTATTTTGGGGTTTATCCTAAGAGAGAAGCCTGGACTATTACTCTGATTTTGGAGGCATTTTCCAGCCTTAATGATTCTGTTGATTAAAGATCTGAGACACTTGCAAGTAGGATGCTCCCTGTTGTGTGACACTTTGTGTTTTCCCAGTGCCTTTCAGGTAAGTACTACTAATTTAACAGGAAAAAAAAAGATATTGGGGTTACAGTGGGTTGGAAGCCACAAGGTATTTTCAACTTTCTGTAAATATGCCTTGCCTTGGGCTGGACAGAATCATAGAATCACAGACTGCTTTGGGGTAGAAGGGACCTTAAAGCCCATCCAGTGCCACCCCCTGCCATGACAGGGACGCCTTCCACCAGGTTGCTCCAAGCCCCATCCAACCTGGCCTTGGACACTTCCAGGGGTGGGGCATTGATCCATAGATCCTCATGGGTATGCAGAGAGTTGGTTTGAAAATAGATGCTTTGAACATTGTTTGCCTTCTTCCTTCTTTGCCCAGATTTTGGGTTTCCATGCTTTGCTTCCTATCCAGCGGGGAACTCCCGTGGGATGAAACAGCTCGGCTTGCCCAGAGCTGAGGACAAGTAACCAGCATGAGTCAAGCTTTGTACCCGGCCCTCTCCCAGTAGCAAACTGGTGAGACCTCACCAGCTTTAACAGGCTCCCTCTCCCCAAGGTGCTCAGCTCCCAACTTGCCCAGGCCACCTCTGACTCTGCTTTCTGAAGCTTTAGCGTGTCTGGGAGTGAACGCCGAGATTTTGTCTGAGGGCTCAGGATTTTCAGACAAGAAAATCCCAGGAAGGAAAAGTAGTGAATTTCTTGGGCTACCTTTTCCCTTCTCACTTTCTTGATATCTACTTTCTTGTTTGTCTCGCTTCTCAATGGCAGAGGAGGAAGGCAGTAGTTGGGGTTTCTTTTGGATGAGATCAATCCCTTGCCAATACTAATGAAAATGTCTGGACTTAGAGAGTAAGTGAGCACAGGAGTCACTGGAGATTTTATACTAATTTAAAAAAAAAAAAAAAGCATCAGAGGGAAAAAAATTACAATTAGAAAGCAATCATGTATATCTATATATCAGTATAATGTTACATCCAAACTGAAATTCCATATTAAAGGAAGAGGAGCACTCAGCTCTTCCCAAGGAGAGTTTTTTTCCATGATATTTCTTTGTTATACTGCTGCATTTATGCCTTGTGTGGCTCTTTTCATACCTTTTAGCCTTTTAGCAAAGGGGTTGGGATCTGTCCCAAATCTTCCTTTGTGAAGCCTAGCCATGATGATGATGGGCTCTGTCCCTTCACCTCCTTTTCCATATTCAGAGTATATTAGGATCTGTCCCTTCACCTCCTTTTCCATATTTAGAGTATATTAGGATTTCTCCCTTCACCTCCTTTTCCATATTTAGTATATAGAACTACAGCCTATTCCTTTCTTTCCTATGTGTATATATATATATATTCTTATAATGTTTAGGTACTTTCCTTCCTGGTCTTCTGAAGGAAACAGCACATATTTGCAATAAGCTTTTCCAGAGCTTTTCCCTTATTTCAGTAGCTGTGAATAGGCAGGGAACAAGTGATGTATCCATTCCCTCTCTCCTTCCTACCCTTCCTGCAGCTTGGCCAAACTACCTGCTGACTTTTCTGGATCGGTGCTGAAAATTGAAGTATTTTCTTGTAATGGAGAAGCTGCTTGTGACAGAAATGTCTCCCAAAATCCAGGCAAAGCAGCTGCCTTGGGAGCACTGTGCTCCAGCTAAAGGCCAGCACACCTCGGTGAGTGTGGAGAAGCAAACCTGGTCAGATGCCCGCAGGGCTCCTACTCAGCATCCGTAAGGAATTCTTACGCAGTGGGAACGAGCAAGTGACGTGTGGGACAGCCCTGGGTGAAGGTGATGCTGTTGGTGACCTGCTCCCAAAGCACGGAGCTCTCATGTGCCTGGATGGGTTTCCCTCCTTCCCACATTGCCTCGGGTGAAGCAGCTCCCTCAGCCCAGGCTGGAGAGCGAGTATTTTGCAGGGCAGGTTTTTTCCTCTGGGGAACATTCTTGTCTTTTGTGTCATCGGGACATGCCCCTGCTCAGAGGGAAGGAGGAGCTCCTCCGTGATCAAACTATCTCATCCAGCATGTGTGAATCCATCCAGACTGGCCCTTCCCTAATTAGGGCACCCAAAACACCTTCTCCATGGGTCACCTTGCTGCTGCCTCCTCACTGTGGGTTTTCCCTGCGAGCACCTCGGCGGCCGTGGCCGAGCCCGTCATCGTCCCGCTGAAGTGACCAGCCCTGTCTTTGCTCACTCCCTTGCTCAGCTTCCCCTCACAACAGGGACGTGCCAGCAATGAATTAGCTTGCAGAGAGAATGAGTTGACAGGCTGTTAAGGAAACAAAGCCCCACACTGCTCATCCGTGGTCTGTGCCTGCCTCTGTTCACCCACAGCCTCTGTTTGCAGCCAGCAGAGGGACTGGAGGGATGCTTTCGGAAGGGTCCTCAGGACGTTGCGCTTTTGGGGCTGAAGATGGTCACTGAAGCGAGGAGGACTGAATTTTAAGCTGAGGAATATTGCTGGAGGTGTTTGGGAGCCTGGGTGCAATAGGAATATGAAGGAACTGCACAGTGGTGGAGATGGAAAGGAGCTCCAGAGCAGAGGCAGAACTGTCATACTCTCAGGGATGGAGGCTGGTCGGAAATATTGACCTGGGGGACACAGGGGTGAGCTTTGGACCAAAAGGGATTTTGGGTGGCTGGAAGGAAGGTGGCTCTGGCTGAAGGACAGAGGCTGTGAGAGGACAGGGCACCAATAGTGGGATGGGGCAGCACCAGAGGCAGTGCAAAGGGGGTGATGGGGGGAACTGAGCACAGAAGGGGCCTGAGGTGACATTGGGTGGTGAGTGACTGGGGCAGTACAAGATGCAGGATCCCCTGAGATGTCTCCTTCCCACCTTCCCCACTTTTCTTATCAGAGGTGAAGACGTAGGGAGGAGGGTGGGTGGCCTCAAAGGTGCTCTTTGTAGGAGAGGGTCACACTGCACCAGCTCCTGCTCCCCCATCCCTGTTTTGATGGATCAGAGCCCTGCTCTGGTCCAGTGGTCACCTGCATCCCAAAGCAGTTTCCCCCTCTGGAGTATGCCAAGCACGAAGGGAAACAGCTCTGGGCTGTGCTTGCTGGGGAAAGGGAAGTGATAAGGGAGGTCAGATACACCAAGGCAGTGCTGTGCAACCCCAACACTGCACTTTCCCTGTAAAGCACCTTTAGCATCTCCATTATGGATAAGAGGAGCTGGATTCTCCAGGGATGGCACAGTGAAATCCCTTTTCACCGGTGACCAAAGGGGAAAAAATTGCTATATTTGGATGATAGGCATGTCTTGAGAGAGAATTTAATGCTGTTAGGAATGCCCTGTAATCCTCCATTTAATCGTGATTGGCAAACCAACCGAAGAACTGTTTCATACTAAATAGTGCTGAAGGAAATCACAAGCAGAGGAGCCCACAAAAGTAATGTTTTCAATTTATTTATATAAACAATTGCATTTTAGCAACATCGTTGTCCTACAAAAATAAAGTGAAAAACTATTCACAGAATTTTCAATAAATAATCTCAGACATACACATTTATCACGAGCAGGTTGAACCCAGCCAAACCCAGCAGGCCGGGTCCCATCACAGACAGTGACAGTTGAAATGTGGCTGCAGAGTACAAAATGCAGAGTGAACAGGATTCCTTGCTGAAGCAGCTTGTAACTTAACTCCAGTGACACGCTCTGAGGACTTCCTCTTTGCCTACCCCAAAACAACTAGATCTGTCCAGACTTGCCTCCCCTCGCGAGCCCAACACTTTTCCTCAGTTAACAGCAGAAGGGTGCTCTGAAGGGTGTTCCAAAGATGGAGCTCATTGACAGGTACGTGGTGAACAAGAGTCCGAGCAGTTTTCACTCTTTAGCAAGTGCAGCACCGACCACCTTTGGGTACAAGGTGATTGAAGGTTTTTCCTTCTTCGTGCTTCAAACAGAAAAAGGAAAACAAATGCCCTTCTTGCTCCCAAAGCATCCATACCAAAGACCAGCCCAAGTCAGTCCCTGGTATCGATGGCTGCAGGAGATCTTGGTTCAGCTGTCCATGGCAACGAGACCTACACAGCCAAAGGTCAGCACTGCCTCTACACAGATCAATGGAAACACAAGTCACAGACAAACTACACTATTGCCACAGTCCTTACAGTGCACAAGCCTCTACAAGTGCGTGAGAGATTCAGATGAGACAGAAAACTCAAGTCCTTTTCCACAAGTAGTCAAGGAATTTTGGGCAGGGGCACAGAGTACCAGGTTGCTGCTCTATTCCAGTCTGAAGTGACATTTTCTTTTTCCCTATAGTTCCCCAGCTGTTTTTATGGGAAGATCATCTTCTACATTTCCTCTCTAGAAATTAAAAAAAGATACCCTTACATGCAAAGTCTGAAGTGCTGGTACAAGATCCTGTGTAACTTATGTGCCCAGATGAGACTAGATATTTTAGTGCTGGATCAGGACAAATATGACCTTTTGTGCTAGCCAGTTTTAATGAAGCTTAAGCCAATTACTTAAAATGCCTCTGTTTATAAATTATAAATAAAACATTATCCCTCCTCCCCCAATAAGTAGAACTACAAATTCCATGTACAACTTGTGTACACAGACATAAGCACCTTCAAGGCTCTGTGCCCTGAAGTGCTGCTAAATCTACTCTGTGTTCTGCTTTCTGTGTGTTTGCACAACTGCTCAGCTTTCACTGCTCCCCAGTAATCCCCCTGTTTTGGGAACACAAAGCTAAACCAGAGCCACAGCCTAACTACAGCTACACTGTCCTTCTGTCCTTGGAGGGACAGACATCAAATTATCAAGTAAACCAGAGAACTACAGCTATGAAAAGAATACCAGTACCCTGGGCTAAGTTTAAGACCTCCCCAAAGTTACACAATAAAACCAGCTGTATTCCAACACAAGCAGCCTTGCATTGCAGCCTAAGAGTCAGTTATTGCTAAGCTCAGTACCTCATTCTCACCCCCTCACACAACTAATACTTCTGTGACACACGCTTCAAAAAGAAGTAGAAGCCAAGAAAAGCTCTATTTTCTTTAAAAAATTAAATAATAAAAAAGTATTTAAAAACAGTTAGTTTTCATGTAAATCCAGAAGTGGAGTTACACATAAGGAACATATAAATTATGATACAAAGTGCCTTATCAGCAGTGAAGGAGAGGTAGTATCAATGACAAATGCAATGCATTTTCTGACCTTTCATAAATAAGTGAGTCTCAAGTATATGTATTTTTTCATTAATCTTTGAGTTCTCATACTGAATTCATAATCTCTTCTGGCAGTTTTCATTAAGTCAGATTTTTCTTGTTCTTTTAGGTCAACAGCTGTTTTCGAGTTTAAGCTGCTGAAACAAAAACTTGCCTTTGTAGTGTTATGTGACCTATGAAAACCACCAGACAAAGCAGACAAAGCCACCACCACCCCGCTTCATCAAGTATTAAAACAACATAAAAAAAAAAAAAAAAGAGTTGGAACCTTTGTCCACTTTGGAATACATAGTTCTGTTACAGAAGATTTTAAACAAGGGATTCACCACTGTCCAGCTCATACAGAGAAAATCCCTTTTCGTAAATGGAAGCCTTACCTGAGTAAGGAATCTAAGGCAACCCCCACAATGAAGATGCTCAAGTGTTTTTTTTTTCCCCTAGTTTTTAAATACTAAGCCATAAATAGAATAAATAACACAGTTAAATAAATAAATAGGTGGGTTTCTACAACTCAGCAGAGCGCTCTTTCAGCAGTAGTGTGGGGTTGATATCTTCCATGGCTGTTTTTGAGGTACTAACGTTAATGGTCGCCTCTGTGGGTTCAGGACTTAGGATGTGGAAGGCAGTGAAGGGACAGCCCTTGACATTGTCGCAGATGAGCTTTTGCAAGGAGGCAGTGTTGATGATGTCAAAGCCCACTTTGCCACCGAAGGTGCTGGGCTTCCAGTACTCAGGGGAGCAGATGGCATTGCCCATCAGTCCCTTCAGGGAGAACGGGGCTCCCATCTCCACCATGGTTTCTCCAAAGATGGCACCTGGGCGTGGCTTTTCCACCAGAAGGCCTGGGTACAGCTCCATGGCATCAATGTCTCCATACAGCTCCTCCAGCTCAGCTGCCATTTCCTTTTCTCCTGTAACGAGTAAAAACCATTAGTGGAAAAATCCTACTTTACTCACAAGACTGTCCTGCTCAAGTCCAGTAATAATAGTGTAGGACTCTGTGAGCCTTTTAAGGAAGTGGCCCTCATTTGCTCTGAAGGATGAGAACTGTTACCTGTAAGTTCTTCAAAGGATCTGAATGGTTTCAGCATGAAGCGTTTCCTGTACTCGTTCAAGGACTGGTATCTCATTTGCCTGCTCTGGTCAATTGAAGCCTTGGCCACTTTCTGTACTGCAGCAGGAACGTTCTTCCCACCAGCAACCTGGTTAATCAAGATGAAAAGTAGTAAGATCTTCTGATAGGAGTCATGAGGAAGCTGTGCCTTTACAGTCTGTGATTAGTTTTAAATAGCTTTATTCTATTCCCTTGTCCCATGCCCAGCTTATGCCTCTCTTGGTTCACCGGCAACTTGAGGAAGCACCTACCCTGCCAGCACTTTGCTTGGAGAAAGATTTCACCATGTGGGAAAGGCCGTGCTCCAGCATGATGGAGTTGTTGTAGAGGAACTGCTGGAAAGTGTACTCCTGGTCGTGGATCTGGAAGGTGTCGGGCAGCAGCGGGTGCCAGTGGTACAGGGTGTTGAACTCGGCTGCGATCCGGTTCTGGTACTGGAACCGCTGGTTGAACAGCAGCTCGGGGTCAAACTTGAGCTTGAAGTGGTACCCACTCAAGTGCTGCACATAGTCCTCAATGACAATCTTGATTGTCTCTCCTGGGGGACAAAGACACAGCAGAGAATATTGGCACTGGTTCCCTGAGAAACTTCAGGCGGTGGAGAAAACACCCTTTCTGAATTGTTCTAAAAAATGCTGTATTGATCAGGGCAACAAACACTTCAACGTTCTGTAATCTCTCCTAGAAAGCAATTCATCTATTTTATGTGACTAAGGGGTGGAACAGTACTTAAAATCCCAGGAGCTTTTGGCTGTGGTAGTGAAGTGCTTTCTATAGCTTGCTTTCCCACTCCCACACAAGATGCAGTTCCTTGTACCCTCCCCAGAACAGCACACAGCAGTATCTACACTGTGTTCAGTCACAGGATAGAGGGAGGGGATAATGAAGAAAGTTGATGTCTGAAAGCAAATCTTAGCTTCTGAGCCACATCATACAACTGTCTTGGTTTACAGTTTCAGTTTGGGCAAGGTCTTTTCAAGCTTGGAGTACATCACCTCTCACACAGGATGAAATACCACTGAGCAGACAATTAGATAAGAGAAATATGTGGAGTTATGTTTTACATAACCTCCTGAACTTTAGACTTAATCACAGCCTTTCTTTTAAAGCATACCTGAACTGACTCAACCCTAGGGGGAAAAACCCAGATCTGAGAGCCTGAGGTCATGTAGCCTCACACGCTTTCTCTGAGAAAGGAACCTTCATTTACTGCCTTTTCACTGCTTTCAGTTCTGCTTCCCTTAGATAAGGGAATCGAGTATCCCTTAGCTCAGTTTTCTTCAGCTCTGTCTTCAGCAGAGCTGGGGGAAGCTGTACCTCAGCACAGCCCCGGTGACGGGCCGCGAAGGCGCCGCTCACACGCCAATTGATGCAACAGCTTCCCTCTTACTCCACCTCAGAGAGAAGGTTCAGCTGCACGTAGGTGAGGTGACACCCACCTATCAAGATGAGCCTGGTGGTTTGGAAGAGCTGCTCGTCGTCCCACTCGGGGTGCTCCCGTTTGAGGACGTCGCAGACGCGGTTGTGCTCCCGCAGCCAGATCGTGGCGTACATCATCAGGCCTGGCACCAGCCCGAACACCTCCTGCCCCACCGAGAACCGCAGGTGCTCCGGCACGTGGGGGGGGTACAGCATCTCTGCCTGGGTGTCCTTCACTGTTGGGGGGTACATTTCTCCATCGATCATCTGCCAGGGAGGGAGGAAGAATAAAACAAGAGGTGTGAGCTACGACGCTCAGGAGTTAAGCTGCGCTCTGTTAGCACTGACTTCAGTCTCGCGCTTCAGATCAACCCTGCACAGAGCACTGATTTAGGAAATACGTCATCCAACAAAAAGGCAAGAATTTTGAGGTATGACATACCTGGTATTTCAGCTTTCCATCCTTTCGGAGTCTCAGTTTAAGTTGCCTCTCCAGAGTCTCTCCATAAATGTGGTTCAAGTCAACCTAAAAAAGAAAAGCATTTGGAACATGAAGCCAACCTGCATTTTTTGCTATTTTAGGATAGGTCCCACTTCTATGGATGCCAATAGGAGCTCACCCCCTAGATGTTTACCTTTTAATTATATTGCTGCTACCTTATAAGTATCAACCACTGATACTTAAGATGAAGCCAAATTATTTCCTGGCAACTGGAGCCATCTCTGCGTAAGAGGGGGTTGTGAAATTGCCAATTTAAAAGGACTCTGTTTAAAGTGTCAGCAACTTTCTATTATGCAGACAGCTCTCTGTATATACAGACACAGTTTACAGCTTTGGTGTAGATACACAAATTACCCTTACAGTGAAGAACTTTGTCTAAAGGCTGCCTGTTTTTTAGGTGAAGATCCTAAATCCAAGTCTGCTTCTGAAGTTCTTTTTAAACTAAGCCTATTAGCAGTACACAAGATGCCTTAGGGCTGGATATAGCTCTTTGGAAGTGACAGAGTCCAGGGAAGTTTTGGATACTCACTAGCTTTAGGTGAAAGCAGATTGTTGGGAATAATAAGAGTCATCACTGGGCAGGTACTTTAAACAGAACCACTTGCACAAAGCACGCGGTTCTGACCCGGGAAGAGATGCTGTGGAGTGCTGGGATCTGGCCTAAGGAGAAGTTCTGGGAGGGACAATCCCATGGGTTTGTGGCACATGTGTTTGTGTGCACAGGTGTTTGTGTGCCCTGGCAACCTGCAGGATGCCATTCCAGCTGCTCAGTGGCTCCTGAGCACCAGGAGCTGTGTTGGTTGCAGAGCTGTGACGTACCCCGTGGCCAAGGCCTTTGGTGAAGCCAGGTCCCTTCTTGTGGTCTGTCTTGAAGAACTGGTGAGTGAAGTGCTGGGCAAAGAATGTGAACATCACATTTGTGCCTTGTGGGTCGGGAATAAACTTTCTCCTTAGCAAAAACTTCTCCACAATCAGCTTCGAGTCTGGGAGCTCCTTCTTACCTGTGAGAGAAAGAAAGAGTGAGATATTCAAGACAACTCTTTATGTCATACTTAATTTTGTTCCTAACAAAAAGGCTTAAGACTTGCAATGTAACAGTGAAGGACAGCAGCATAGAAATAAGGGGAATATCTGCTTTTCTACGCTCACTTTGATGATTTTATTAGAAACTTTTAAGTTCCCTGCTTTTAGCATGCGACTCAGTAATGAGAACCAGAAGAATTATCTTTTAGGTCTTCACACAACGTATCCAAAACATGGCTATTCTTCAAGTCTCCTACACTGAAAAAAGTTACAGACAAGGAAGTCTTATAGGAATTTCTACTTTTCATCTTAAAAAATACTAAAAGTGAACATTATACATCTGGTTTATTCCTTACCTTTAACACCCATCGGTGTTGGACAGTCAAGTCCTACAGGTGGAAGGGATCTTGTGTAGTAGGAAAGATTGGAATAAGCTTCCCAGCTTTTATAACTATAATCAGTATTGTAAGTTGGTGGGCTGTCAATCAAGTGTGATCTTGCTGAAAGACAAAGAAGTCTTTGATTACTTTCAACTGTACATTTTAGTCTCAAAAAGTAAATCACAAAGCCAGATCTTTTCCATATACTTGGCAGCAGTTGTAAATTCCACAAGTATCGGGCACTGATGTTAAATAGGATTACAGTTACTGAGTAACAGGACTGGGTCCTGGCTTATCAGCTGGATCGCACTATTAACATGAACAATTTGGAGCAAAGTTTATGCTGGTAAAATCCTGGATTCTAGCAGAAATTAGAGCAAACTGCACTTTAGCATGTTTCATACAGGTCTGCATCATGCAGAAATCTGGGGGTTTGGGTTGTGTTTTAACCCTAGTGCAATTTAGGCTGTTTATTTTATATACAGACTAATGGGGAGCAATATTCTAGAGTCCCATGAGTTAATTCTGCCAGTTTTAGGAGGACTGGTAGAGAGAATTCACACTTACACGTTAGCACGTATCTCATGATAGCATCCCGCAGGAAGGGAATGTTGTTGATGATATTCCAGACTCCTTGGAAGTGCGTGAGGATGTAGTGGACAGTGTTTGGCGATGGTTTCAGTGTTAGCCTGAGCCACGTGAAGAATTCCGCTGCGAGCAACAATGGAAAGGTTATTACAAACCAGCTATTGAGAGCAATCTGCAGTGCTGGAGTGGGGTTATCGATTTAACTCCTGTGAAGGGAGATTTAAGGTACTCACGCGTGGTGCAGTTTTCCCCGTAGAAGCCCGTCCTCGTGCAGTCGCACTGGTAGCGATCGGGTCCCGTCGTCATGCAGACCCCTCTGTTCTGGCAGGGGTGGGAGCAGCAAGGGTTGGCTGCAAGGGAACCAGAGCTCCATTAGCATCTCACGCGGCCACACCGGTATTCCCGGGCTTTACACGCGGAAGGAGAGCGCCCTGGAGCGCAGTGCTTATCGAGGAGGCATCAGAGGGAGCATCCATCCGCAGCAGCCTTCGGGCTACCAGGGAGCAGCTTTTAAAAGCGCAGGAATTCGCCTCCGCTTGCTGACGGCAATAAACCCCCCCCGGAAAGGGGGATGACCCCTCACAGCCCAACGGGGGCCCGCCACCCCTAGATCAGACATTAGAGCGATCACAAGAGAGCAAGAAGCATAAAAAGGAAAAGCAGTGAATTAATCCACAGCGCGGCTGTAACGCGGAGCAGGGCGGTGCCGGCAGGACTCACCGGCGTGGCCGGCGGCCAGCAGCGCGGCCAGGAGGGCGCAGGGCAGCAGCAGCATGGCCGTGTGCGGGGCTGTGTGCGGGCTGGGCTCGGCTCGGCTCGGCGGGGGCTCGGCAGCGCCGCGATCCAGTGCCGGTCCCAGGTGCGCCGCGGCGTATTTATGCCGAGCCGCGGCTCTGAGTCACCCCCCGCCCGCCCATCCGGAAACTGCCATCACGGAACGAAAGCTTTCACCGCGCCCGATCGCGCCTCGGCCGCTGCCGCGCCACCGCCACCGCGGCCGCCGTGAGGGAACGCCGTGAGGGGCGGGAGGAGGCGCCTGGCGGGGGCGGCCCGCCGGCCCCCTCAGGGCAGGGAGGTGCGGGCAGCTCGGGGGCGCCGGGCGGCTGCCGCCCCTCAGGGCTCACAGCGCCCCGAGTTCGCCCCGCACTGTTCAGACTCAGGACTCACAGCCCCCCGAGTTCGCACTCAGGGCTCACAGCCCCCCGAGTTCGCACTCAGGGCTCACAGCCCCCCGA